CTCCCTCCTGGCTTCTTGTGCACCTGCTTGCTAGCAAAGCTAGGGAAACTGGGAAGTCCTTGATTTAGAGTAAGCACTGCTCAGCAGGAGCTAAAACATCCATGTGTTATTAACATTATTCTCATAATAAATGCAAAACCCACAGCACTGTACTAGCTACTAGGAAAAAAATTAACTCCATCCCAGCTGAAACCAGAACAGCAGAGAATGTTTTTTCACCTTCAGTGCCCCTGATGCAACTGAGGAAGTACCCCAAAAAAGTCTACTACCACTTCCAATGAAAATAGTTGTTTTTATTTCCTAAATAACATGTCTTGCTGTTGATTTTCCAGTCCCAACATGCTGCCAGAGCACTGAGATAGGGGAATTCTGCATGACTAGTTATTCTCCTCTACTTGTTCAACAACATGCTTATACTAGTCATTTCACCAAATAAGGGCTGAACTTATCATCATTAATATTGTACTTCCCATTCTAGAAATGTCTTTTTGCTGCTGAGCTGCCCCACCTGCATTTGCAGAACTCTTCTCACAAAGACAGACATGATGCTCAAAAGGATCCTGTCTTTGTCGTCTTTGTCATCAGTGACAATATGTGACTACGCAGAAAGTTGTGTCTGATGTGACCAGCTTTGCAGTCTTGTTTTGTGTGGCCCATTGTGTGCAGGAAACAACGCTTCTGGCTCAGGAAGTCTGTGTGCATCTGCACTGCCACTGAAAGCACTGCTGCCCTGCCCAGATACATGCTTCTTGTTCAGTTCATCTTCCAAAAATGGAGAGGCTCTGATGGCAGGTGTGCTGATAGATCCAGGGCATTTTATATGAGGTTTTTTAAGTTGTTCAAATTAAATAGATCCAATTCAGACTCATAGACTCAGAGAATATGCTGAACTAGAAGGGACCCATCAGGTTCAACGAGTCCAGCTCCTGGCCTCATGATCTGTCTCACCTATTCCCTGTGAAACCAGTTTACAAAGTATCAGAAGATGGGAAAGTGAGATGAAGTTCAACTAGGATAGTACTTAACCTGCCTGCAATACACATAGTCATAAACAGGATATCCTATGCTCTACATAACTTGCAATTTGTGATCCAAATTTTGTACATGGTAGCAGTGACCCAGTTCTGCACAAGTCTTGTATTAATAAATGTAAAAAAAGTTGCATGAGGGATGTGTCAACAACAATGCCAGTTCTTGTTTGAGAAAATCAATTAATATACCTGGAAATTCAATTCTACAAGCACAGCAGATATAAGGGGGAATGGGAGGTAGATGTTTTTCCTCCCTGAACTCTAATGGAAAACTGACGAAACAAGCACATTCCATAATCTCAAATGTATTTTCTAATCTTCGTTCCTCAATACAATACAGTTTTACTTTAATGAAGTTTCTGAGGAGAACTGAGAACATGAGCCATAGACTTAATTTTTATCTAGCTCCAAGTCTCAGTGCATTTTGTTATAGAAAACTTACCCTTGCAAAAGAAGTGCACAAAGAAGGGTCCAAATAGAAGCAAACTTGTAGTAATAGATCATTTCAAGGATTAGTGACTCCAATACCAGGATCTAGCTAAGAGTTGCAAATTCTTGTTACCACAAATGACAGCTTTAAGAAGTAGGGGCTTTGCTGGTGCACAAGAGATTTAGTTCTAAGTAACAAATGAGATCTGATTTAAGAAGTAATTACAGATTACTCTCTCTGTCAGAGTAGCTGCAAGATAGTGAAGATTAGTGTAGTGATCTTAACTGCAGAATGGGTGTCGAAAGCCATAAAACCACAAAAGGAAAGGCAAAATATTTAAGAAAAGAAAATCCTTAAAATGAACCTGGTAAATATTTAAGCACACCACAGTAGAATGGTTAAAATAATAAACATATTTCATTAGATAGTTTATTTGAGTAATAAATAAACCTACCATGAGTTAAAAGCAGCCCCAGTGATGCCAGGAGGAAGCATCAAGAACAGTGGCATCTGAATTCTGTAGCTGATGAATATGTCAGAGGGGCTCTGTGAGGAAATGAAAAATTCAAATGGTCAGAAATAAATCCAAAAGAAGATAAATATTTGGAATCAAAGACCTGCATGCTTTGCAGATCCATTAAGCCGTCTTGACAGAATGGATCAAAGTCAGCAACAGATCTAACCTCTTGCAGATGTTACTGCTTAAAAGGAGCAGACCACCAGGGCATGAATTTCTGAAAGGCAAGTCACTGTCAGAAACTGGCATGAAAATATTTAGTGTTTAAAAAAGCTAATTTAAGTTACAAGTTTCTGTTTCTTTGAGACTGTAACAAAAGTAGATAAAATGAAAATCCAGGAGGAACTTGCAGCGTTTGCTTCTTCCTCCAAGGAATGGAGAACCCCTGATGGTTATTTTTCTAACCTCTTCTTAGAAAGCTGAATGGTGGAGATTATACTCCAGCTTTTGGTGACCTATTTCTGTCTGTAGCTATCGTTAGAGTTAGAAGGTTTTCCTGTTTTAGCCTAAACCTTTCCATCTGCAATTAAAGGCAGCAAGGTTTTGTCTTGCCCTCAGCATCATGAAGCACAATCAGTGGGATCCCTGCTGTGAGAATTTTCTGCTTATTGGAAGGTTGTTGCAATATCTCCTCCACACTTGCCATCAGCCTTTATTTTTTATAGCAAATATTTCCTCTCCCTTTTTCAATCATTCTCCATATTTTAAGCTCTTTTTTTTTTTATAAAGTACTTTTCTTTTTGTACTATTGTATTAAACTACACCAAACTAAGACTTCTGAAAGGTCGGTTAAGAAAAACAATTACTAACCCTGCCTTGCATATGACACATCTATTAAAATGTCCCAGGATGAGTTTTGCTATTTTATCATCATCATCATCATCTTGTTGACTCATATTCAATATGTGGTTTACTGTAACACCCAGGTCTCTTTCTACAGTTCTGTTAGTATTCTCAATTTTGTATTTGTGCATTTGATTTTTTCCTTGCCTTAGTGCAGTACTTGGTCCTTGTATTTATTGAGTTTCATCGTATTGATTACAGACCACTTCTCCTATTTATCAAATTCTTGCCCTTCAACTCCCTTGCAGACCCTTTTCTTTTGCATCTTTTTGAGTGTGCTCTCCATTCCATTAACCAAGTCATAAGTGAAAATGTTGCATTGGTTTTGGCCAGAACTTGGCAGAATTCTATATTATCTATCCTTTTAGTTTGAAAACAAAATACAGATAAGCCTAGGAGTATTTTCTACAAGCTGTTGTACACCTGCTGTGTAGCAAGTTAGGCCAGAACAAAATATTTCTGTACATCGTCTATGAGAATGTCATGTAAGATAGTGGCCAAAGATTCCCTAAAGTCAATACACATCACTTCTATTGCTGGGTTTTGCTACAGGCCAGATAGGCTGTTAAAGAAAGAAAATACAGCAGTTAAAAAAACTTTTGTTTGCAACAAATATTTCCTGTCTATTTCTTTTTCACTGACCCTCCAGGTGCTTTTAAAGTGATAATTTAATTTATTGGAATATTGTTCTTGATATTGAAATTATATTGACTGCTGATTTCTCCGTTCTTTCTTGAAGATGATATTTTACTCTCCTCTATTCGCGAAGCCTAGCCATGATGATTCAGGCTACCCATCATTCAAGAATTCTTGAAAACAGTGATGACAAAGTGGTGTTATAAATGTTTTAATTCTAGAACGACTCCACAGAAAATTTCTGAGGCAAATATTTAGCTACCGAGTGAAGGTAAAAATTATGTCTCTGTGCTCAAAATTAATGTTTGACATGTGGTTTAAGAAGAGGCAAATTGGTAAACACTTTTAAAGACAAAATTTACAAGACAGAAAATAATACAGTAAAATAACTTAACAGAAGGAAAATCGTATGACCAGTTTATTAGTATTCCTTGTAACTTTAACAGACTTTTCCTTCTAAATATTGCCAAAGGTTATTAGAAGAAGCTAACTAGAGACTTATTCATTTTCTCTATCAAAACTACATTATAATAAATTACTGGTTGCTAAATTGCTTCCTTGAAATAAGTCAGTTAAAGGAGTTAAAAAGGTGAAAAAATGTTAGAATAGATGTAGTAAGATACAGAAATACTGAAATACACAGTATTTACACTCACATGGCCCTTTTTATCCCCTTACTCACTCTTGTTCCTCCCCAAATCACCTAAACCACTCCCTTTTCCTGCCTTTGGTTCCTCCCCTAAACATAAGGTAGTAAATCTTGTGCAATCTGAAACTGCTTTTCTCCTGCACCAAATGATGTATCCCATCTCTGGGCAGCATCCCCACTTGGTCTGAAAGAGGATCCAGGGAGCTGCTTGCTCACAGCACCTTCTCATGATGGGTTTTTCACCTGGACGCTGGTGGAATGGTCCAGGGAGGGGCCTGGATAAAGTGTTTGTTCCTTGATGGTCCTTGGTTCAGGTTGTGCTGTGACCAGCAGGACCAGAGCAGTGATCATCCCCTTGTACTTGGCACTGGTGAGGCCACACCTTGAATCCTTTGTTCAGTTTTGGGCCCTCAGTTTTGAGGTGCTGGAGCATGTCCTGTGAAGGTCAACAGAGCTGGTGAAGGGTCTGGAGCACAAGTCTTATAAGGAGTGGCAGAATGAGCTGGGGGTGTTTAGCCTGTAGAAAAGGAGGCTCAGGAGGGATCTTATTGCTGTCTACAACTACCTGAAAGGAGGGCGTAGCCAGGTGGGATTTGGCCTCTTTTCCCAGCTGACAAGGAATAGGACATGAGGAAATGGCCTCATGTTGTACCAGTGAAGGTTTATGTTGGATATTAAGAGAAATTTATTTGCTGAAAGTGTTGCCAAGCCTTTAAACAATCTGCCCAAGGAAGTGGTTGAGTCACAATCTCTGGAGATATTTAAAAGATGTGTAGCTGTGGTGCTTAAGGACATGGTTTAGTGGTGGACTTGTCGGTGCTGGATTAATGGTTGTACTCAACGATTTTATTGGTCTTTTTCAACCTACATGATTCTTTGATTGTCTGATTCTAGGTTCCTGCCTTCCACTTGGCATCCCTGTGCTCCTCTAGGCTTGTGGAGATGGCTCTTTGATGGGCTGACAGCCTCTGCGATGGACCTAAGGGTAGCTTGGCAGGGTATAATCTGGGTTCCTCCTCCTTCCACTGTCTCTCTGAGCATCTTTCTGGGTGTGCAGGTGAGCTTTATCACACAACCGAGCATAGAACAGCTCTTCTGCTACAGATGGCACTCCAAATAATAAGAGGGAAAAAAAAAGAACACCCCCCCACACCAAATAGCTGTAACCTTTCAAATGTAACTGATTTTTGTTAGTGAAATTTAAACCTCTCTAGAGGAAAGCACTCATTTTCTGTTGGCCTTGTAAGTACAGGTATCTCCATTTGATGTTATGTATTGGGCGAGTTCGATGATTACTGGAATCTGTTATTTCTTCTCTTTTAAGGAAAAAATGTCAAAAAAAATTGAAGAAAATGTGCCATTTTACATTGGTCATATTTTGCTTTAGTGATTTATTTTTTTATCTTGGTTTTGAGTTAAATTATAATGGAAATCCAAGAAGTGATTTTTTTTTTGTAAAGAGCTTCATGTAGATTGCCAAGAATCACCTCCAAAGTGGTAAAAGTCACATTTTAAATCATAACAAAAGTCTTCTCTTTTCATCAAGTTTTAGTTATTATGTGAGAGAAAAAAGGAAATTGCTTTTGGATACTCCTTGGAATTATGTGGTGCTCAAAGCAGCTATTGCTAAAAAATTGGAGAGTTCAAGCTTTTCTTCTTGGCAACAGATTGTGGCCATGAACAGCTCTCCATCTGCCTTAGAAGAGCACCTTAATTTATAGCTGCATGTTTAAATTTTTATTTTAGAGCACAAGCACAGTTGCCTGGCATCAAAGGCAGCCTTCCTAGGCTGCAAATTTATTGTACTTTGCTCTCTCAGTAGCTGCATGGTGCAATAAGCAGCTCACAGAAGTGGACAGAACCAGTCCGACACCATGCAGCCCATTCACGTTAGTCTTCAGATTAAGAACTACTAAAGAGTTTTAATGTTAATGTCTCCTGTAATAGTAAATAACAACTCTGAACTGGCTAGATGCATCAGTAGCCTTCTGCTACTCTCTAAGCTGAACAGGAAATCTAATTCATCTCATGTGGTTTCCTGCTGAAATACATCTTTGCAATGACAAATGTATGAGCACTGCTAAACTCAGTTGCTAGATAATGAAAGATGTCTTTTGGTTTTGTTTTTGTTTTTTATCTTTTTCCTTTATTTCTACAATGAAACATTAAACTTGCTTAAAAAGTGACTAAGCTCAACATAAAATATAATATGTAAACTGTTTCTCTCTCTACCTACCTGAAAAAATAATAATTAAAAGACAATTAAGAGAGGGAGAGGTAAGCTTTCTGGTTTGATGTGTATATTTTACATATTAAAAATGGAAGATATTCTCCCTGGAGTGACATCTGCCCTGAAGTTTCACAAGGGTACCTCACAGCTCTGGAGTATACATTGCTCTGGTGCTTAGCTGAGATGACTAAAGAGTGTGCATGGAGAGCCAAACTCTTTGGGTACTATTAAGTTTCCCTCTGTGGGAATGTATGCATTCAATCACTAGAGAGAGGTAGAGGCAGAAAACAGCTGGGCAGTGACTGCTGAAACCACACAGTGGTGCAGATGGAACATTTGGATCTGCGTAGCTAAACTATTTTGTCAGTTTGACAAGAAATTTTACTGTAAGTAGAATTCCCTGGTCCCCATCCCTATGTTGACACTACCTATTTTTCCTGGTTCAGAGAGTGAGAAGGGGAGTGACAGAAATAACTAAAGTCAAACCTGATGCCTTCTGTTACAGGTGATCAGGATATACTTTGTGCAAAGTTCCTGCAGAGTCTCTCTGTAAAGCTGAGATAGCCAGCTATGGCCACAGCAAAGCAGGAAGCATCTCTAGAAGCAGAAAACTGCCACACTGGAGCTTATGCCAGTTTGATCCCTTCTGCTGTCCTGTATCAGAGGATTCCTTATGTGGATTCCTTATTTTCAACTCTTATTTAAAAATTATTCTTGTTTTGCCAGAGTTTGTAATTTCCCATTGTTAGCAACAGAAAGACTTCAGAAATATTTAACATTTATGCTTTCTGTCAGTTCCTGGCTATTGCTTGTTCCTGGCAATCCTCCTCTCATAGAAAAGCCATGATCTTTCAAATCACAGAGGTCTGTGCTGATCTCACAGGTTATTACAACACTAGTCATTAGCAACCACAGTGCTACACTAACTAATTAAAGTCTTCTGGCTTTGGTATTTAGTTTTATGTGCTGATTCACAGCCATGTCCTTTCCTGTGCCGGGTTCATATTCAGCTCTGTGGCTTCATAACTGTGTTTAGCCAGTTCGAGGAGGTGCTCTTCCGAAAAGAATGATTCTCCTTCTCGCCCAGTTGTGTGTCACCATTGACTCCCTTGTCGTTGTGCCAGCGCTTGTGAGGCCATACAGCGACTCAAGAGAAACTCACTTAATCCAAATAGAAAAAACAGTCACAAAAAAGGCTTTTTCTCAGCTAGATCAGCAAGCTGTTTCAGCTGCCTGTGCTGACGAAGCAGCACAGCCCCAACACAAAGGGAAGGTGAGAAGTTGTGGCCAGGCAGAGACTAGAATTGCACCTTTCAGCAGCAGCGGAGATCACCTACAAGAGGCGTGGCACCATTCCTTTGCCATGGGGTTAGCAGAATACCTCTACACCAATTCTCCTTGCTATCATGAGGCCTTTTCTTCTCTACCTCCTTCCTAATAGGCTCAGCCATGCTGTGAGATTGTGTTTGTGTCATAGCTGGAAAGGGAGGAAAATATCTGAAAATAGTTGAAAATGTTGTGTTGGGACCCCTGGATTGCCTTTGCTGGCAGCATGACCCACATGAGCACCTTATAGCTGTTACTTCAGCTCAGGTTTCAAGCCCAGACTCCACACTTATCCACACTGATTTTCAACTTCAACTTGTGAATAGGGACAAGTTGAATGATGTGCTAGGAGGGGAAACTTAAATAGGAAGTGCAGACAGGAGAAAAATATGACCTTAGGACACGTGGGACAGAGTTAGCTTAAGTTTTACGTAATGAACAAATAAGCCTAGAATGAGGAATGTGTCTCAAGGACTCTGCATGAAACATAATATACAAACAGTGTCAGGACATGGTCGACTCAATAGGGATTTTAAAGCATATAATTGAAGTTTCATAGAATATGTGGATGAGCCTAAAAATAAGCAATGAGGATGAAACACTTAACATTCTCAAAACATTTTTAAAAGCTGATCCTCTGTCTACCATGTTGCTGATGCAGATATTAACAAAGAGAGGCTAATGCTGCTTTAACTGGTACAACACAGTAATGCTCGCTGGAGAGCTACTATGGCATGTGAGAATAGCTGGTCTAGTGTCCTCTTTGGCCTTGCTCCTAGCCATTTCTCTTATGCCAAAAGCTGAACTGAGAGATCAGGCACTGCCATTTCACTGGTTTTACAAGTCTCACAGTATTTTATAATTTGGAGAAGCTTTTTGGCTGGATATTTTGTATTGTTTAAGAATTTCAGGTCTAATGTATGTCAGCTTGTTGTTGTTGTTGTTGTTTGGGGTGGTTGTTGGTTTGGGGGTTTTTTGTGTGTTTTTTTTTTGTTTTGTTTTGTTTGTTTGTTTGTTTTTAATTATTTTTTATTGCAGTCTTCTTTTTACTTGTTTTCAAGAAAAAAAGTTCCTGACCAGCCCAGCACTTCCCAGCCACACACACAAGTTATCCATTATTTGCCAATTCTGCTATTTAGCGTCTGGGGAGAGGATGCTTGTGCCAATAGCTGTGTTGCAGTTTGGGAAGAACCTATCAAGCTTGCTGATCTTCTTCATCAAGTGTCTGATCTTCTAATTCCCCAGAAGAAGACCCAAAAATCTGAAGAATGTGCCTGCAATGTGACTTATCAGCAGATACCAAACACACTCCAGAAAAGTACCACTGAAAGTATCACTTTAGCATGAACAAACCTGCCCTGCCTACAGATTTTTTTAGCTCATATTTACTCTTAGTGAAGGAACACAGTAGAGTCAGCAGTGAGTGCAAGTGATCTCACTGGCCAAGAAAGCCTAACTCCTCATGCCCTTGCTCCCTCTCTTATCCATGTATTCCTGTCTCCCCCAGCACCCATCCTTCCTTGTTCCAGTTATAACAGGCTTTACCGTAGGTTGATGTGACCCACTACTGACTAAAAGTGGCTCCCAGAAAGACCTCATTAGCTCTGGAGCTAGCATGGTGCAAGCATCAGAGTGTGTATTTAGTGCTGGAGCAGAAAGGAAGGGCAGGGACCAACATGTTCATCAGCTGTGGTGGGGTGTTAATTCAGCTGCCTGGAGCTGCGAAACCATCCTTCAAAGATCAACAGTCTGTCTTGCAAACAAAGGCAGTGAAAATACTAATCAGTAAGGGTCTATAAACTGTGGTTAACACTGTTGCTGCAATTACTAATGTAGGCAAAAACTGGAAGGTAATGTTATTCAGGTCTTTCTTCACTGCAGATATACCACTGATAACAGAGTAATATGGAGTTGAAACATAATTGGAACACTAAGGAAAGCTTGAGCTATTTATAGTATTTAATAATTTAATAGTACAAAGTGCACTGATTGTAGTACTATTCATTTTTCTATGTAATTTAATTATTACTTCTCTTTCTTAATTAATAATACAAGAGTGTGTTTTTGTATAACACTTCTTTTCCCTAATTCTCATTTTGCACCAGAATTCAATCAAGATCTTCTTGTTGTTCATAAAAAATACGTACGTACCTGCATACAACATTCTGAAAAATTGTTTGAGATTCTACACATTGTAATTTGTGAGATCCCTGTGAGATTTATAAAGGGGATCTTATCACTTAATGTTTATTCCAGGATCTGTAAGAACCCTCTAATGTTTTACGCTCTTATTCTCACAACACTCAGGTAAAACAGGAAGTTTTATTTCTCTGACTACAGCTGGGATATCAAAGCACAGAGATGTTAAAGTCTGTATTCAAAAACCATATTTAAGAGCATGGATCCCACTAGTTAACTTGCCTAGAGTGCTAAGAAAAGCCTTTGTGGAACAAGCACTGAACTTACATCTGCCAAATCCAAGAGGATCTTCCTTACTACTGGACTTTGTTGTCTCACTAAGATTGCAATAAATACTTCTTTCATAGCTGGGGTTAGAGTACTTTGTTAAGTGTGAGGAAAGATTTTTATGAAGGGGAGTTTTGAATGTAGGTCACAGGAGGGCAGAAAGAATATAAAATAGCTGCTGATGCACATGATAGCTTTTATGGCCAAGGAAAATAAAAGCTGTAATGTTTTGGAAAAAGATATTATCCATGAAATCCAAAACAAACTTGAATTAAGTCAGGAGAGAATAGGCATTCCTCTGGAAAGATAAAGGAGTTACTCCATAGATTAGCTTATCATTGCTCTAGAACAAGTTGTTGCTGTTACTTAGAAAGCTAGTATGGTGACAGTCTGTGCACCTATTTGAAATGTATAACATGGAAAAAAATAAAATAATCCATTTAAGGTTAAGTATAAAATGTGAAGAAATAGGATGTTGTTATCTTTGTGTTATGGGCTTGCTTTTCTCTATTGTGTTAAAATATGTGTGTTTCAGATAATTTATGAATCTAATCATGACTCTAAGTTTTGTAGCGCTATTTTATATGAAATCAATTTGGTGGAGATATTTAGAAGGGACCTGCATGCATTTTTTGTGGCTAAGAAAGCAAAGTTTAAATGGAAGTGTGTAAAGTGAGGAACAAATATTTTCCAAAGGAATTTGCTCTAACATGAAAGAAATTCTTGGTGGAACCTCTGATTTCCTATGCTTGCTGTAGGAGACCAGCCTAAACGGGAAAAAAGGTGAATTCCTAATAGATGACATAGACAGAATATGCTTTATTCAGATATGCCTTGTTCTGGGAGTTTTAAGTATCATAGCTACTTAGGACTTTAGATCTGTGCATGATCTTCCCCAGCCCTATATGTGGTATGCAGAAACACGCATAGATATGTTGACATCGCTTCTTGAGGATGGTCCGAAGGTTGACTTCAGGGTCCTCTCTCAGAAATGCTGTCCATTGGTAGCCCACAGAATTTGTCAGAATTACAGAATCACAGAATATGCCAAGTTGGAAGGGACTCACAAGGATCATCGAGTCCAACCCTTAGCCCTGAATAGGACCATGCCCAAGAGTCACACCATGTGCCTGACAGTATCGTCCAAGTGCTTCTTGAACTCTGTCACACTTGGTGCTGTGACCACTTCCCTGGGGAGCCTGTCCCACTAACCAGTCACCCTCTCAGTGAAGAACCTCTTTCTAATATCCAACCTAAACCTCCCCTGACACAACTTCAGGCCATTCCCTCAGGTCCTGTCACTGGTCACCACAGAGAAGAGATCAGGAACTGCCCCTCCTGTTCCCCTCACGAGGAAGTTGTAACTGCAATGTGAGGTCTCCTCTCAGTCTCCTCCAGGCTGAACAGACCAAGTAACCTCAGCCGCTCCTCATACGGCTTCCCCTCAAGGCCCTTCACCATCTTCATTGCCCTCCTTTGGATGCACTCTAATAGATTAATATTTTTCTTATATTGCTGTGCCCAAAACTGCACACAATATTCAAGATGAGGCTGCCCCAGTGCAGAGCAGAGTGGGACAATCCCCTCCCTCAACTGGTTGGTGATACTGTGCTGAGTTTTGTGTCATCTACAAACTTGCTTAGTATCCCTTCCAGTCCTGTGTCCAAGTCACTTATGAAGATGTTGAAGAGAGCGAGGCCCAGGATGGAGCCCTGTGGGACCCCACTAGTGACAGGTCCCACTCTGATGTTACCCCATTCACTATTACCCTCTGTGCTCGACCCGTGAGCCAATTGCTCACCCACCACATGATGTGTTTATCCAGCTGTAGGCTGGATATTTTGTCCAGAAGGATCCTGTGAGAGACAGGATCAAAAGCTTTACTAAAATCCAAAAAGATTACATCAATTGGCTTCCCTTGATCAACTAGGTGGGTTACCTTGTCATAAAAGGAAATCAAATTTGATAAGCAGGACTTCCCTCTCATGAAGCTGTGCTGGCTGTGACCAATGACTGTGTCGTCTTTCAGGTGTTTTTCAATACTTCCCTGAATAATCTTCTCCATAACTTTACCAGGCACTGAAGTGAGACTCAGCGGCCTGTAGTTTCGAGGGTTCTCCTTCTTGCCCTTCTTAGAAATCAGGACAACATTCACCAGCTTCCAGACAGCTGGGACCTCTCTGGATTCCCAGGACCGTTCACCAGCTTCATGCACAGCAAGGTACAAAGAGGTGAAGAACACCAGAATTACAGACTGCAGGAAGCCTTCAGATTGGTATGTGGATGGCTGCTCTGTGGATGCCCAAAATCCTGTAAATCTCTGATATTATTTTTATCTAAGTGTAAAGGTTGTTATAGATGGACAAAATACACACTAGTCTTACTTTCCAGAATATAGCTTAACTCAAGAAACCTATTTATATTTTCATAACGTAATAATTGACTTTTTATTTTGTTTTAATTTTTTATTATGACTTTTTATTAATGAAACTGATTTTATGAAATGCATGGTATATAGAAAATTTGCATTTAACTTTTTATTTTACCAGTTCTATGATTAATGTATTTTCAAAATTTTTTTAATATATTCTATAGATATATGCTGTTTATATTTGCTATAATAGTAAATTGTTCTTTTCAGGACATTCAGAGTATTTAATTTAACAAATGAAAACTAGTTTTAAATGGCAGAATTGAAGACAGATATTATTAGATAATCTTGAAACAACAAAAATATTAAATACATGCAAATTGTCAAAAAGCAGCAATGTATTTTAAAAAATGAAAAACATGTGTTGAACATATGGAGTGCTTTTTTTGTTCTTATACTTGTCCAGGTTAATACTGTTCCAGCAGTTTTACAAATAGCAATCTGCTTTCACTGCATTTCATCTTTCTTCTTTTCCCCTAGCAATATTCCTGGTAATGCCCACACAAGTAAACACTGACACATTTGAATAAAAAAAACCCAGAGGGTGAATTTTTCCAGGGTGTATGTCCATCAGCCCCTTTTCTAACATCTCACTGTCCCCTGAGAATGGGAGGTCTTGCTCCTCCTGTGCTCACAGGGCCTCATTGCAATGTTGGCTCCACACAGTCCTTTCTCTTTCCCTTTCTTTTCTCGCTTTAATGCTCATCAGTCCCCTCCCCAAGCCAACTGAACTCACTATTCAAGAAGAGAATATTCTTCTTTTCTGGGCTTATGTGCTGTGTTACTGAGCAGAGAGGTCACAGAGGAGTCCTCAGTGCTACCTACATGGTGGGAGCAGGTGCTAGGGAACATGGAGGAGAGGAAAGACAAGGAGTGTTTTCCCTTTTCAGTGGTGAGGAGTGGTTTCATCAGCTCGTTCTGCTTAATGTACCTTCACCCTCCAAACTGGTTTAGTGAAAAAGGAAAGGGCTTTTTTTCGCTAGGTCAATTAGAGCAAAGACAGATAGAAGGGGAACTCCTGGGGGGACTGTAGCCTGAGTGGCTCCCAACAGAATGCTGACTGTGATTAAACAATCATGAAGGCATTGTGTCAATATGATATTTAATACTGTACTAGACCAATAAGAAGTTTCAGAAATTCTTTGATCAGTTAATCTTGAAATTATTTATCTGGAGATGCTCTAAGAAAGATTTACTACAACAAGGAATGTCCTTTTTCCTTTTTTTTTTTTGGTGTGTGTTTTTTTGTTAGTTAGTTTTTTTGTGGTTTTGTTTTTGGTTTTGTTTGGTTTTGGTTGGTTGGTTTGGGGTTTTGTTTGTTTTTTTAATGAAGGTCTCCCACATTTCCTAACAGAGGTGATTTTTAGCTCTCTGAGATTCTTTCAATGCACCTGCTAACAGCATCATCTCTTCATAGCAGCCTAAAAGGCTTCTGAGGGCTAAGCAAGTCATCTCCCAGCAGTCTCACTACCTACTGAGGCACACTGAGCACCTACCAGGCTGTATCTCTAATCCCTGGATAATACTGAGCCAATTACGTAGCTGGTGTCCAGAGAAACTATGAAATTGAAATCGCAAGAAAGAAGAGCTGTTTTTCAGTGTCTCTAGCTTCTATTTCACATACAATGACATGGCTTGTTCCTTCCACCAAGCGTGCTAGAAACTGCAGCTCTTTTATCTGCTCCCAAACTAGCCTCCCATCAATGCTCAGGACGAAGGCCTATGTAACCGCAGGCAGTAATAAAGGTCAGGTCAGCGAAGGCATGAAAACAAGCTAAGCAGAGCCAAAATGTTACTTTGTTCAGACTGGAAAAGAGAAGGTTTTGGGGTGACCTAATTGCAGTCTTCCAGTACCTGAAGGGAGCCTACAAGAGAGATGGAGAGAGACTATTTACAAGAGCATGTAATGACAGCACAAGGGAGAATGCATTAAAACGGAAAGAGAGTAGGTTTAGGTTAGATACTGGAAAAAAATTATTTACTATGAGAGCGGTGACGCACTGGAACAGGTTGCCCAGAGAAGTCGTGGAGGCCGCATCTCTGGAAGAGTTTAAGGCCTGGTGGGATGGAACTGTGAGCAACCTGGTGTACAGAAAGGTGTCCTGGCCCATGGAAGGGGGCTGGAAGTAGATGATCTTTAAGATCTCTTCCAACATAAACTATTCTATTCTATTCTATTCTATTCTATTCTATTCTATTCTATTCTATGGCTTTCTAGGAAGGTGGTAGATCCCCTGTTCCTCTCAGTGTTTAGGAGGCATTTGGACAACACCTTTAATGATATACTTTAAATTTTGGTCAGGCAGTTGGACTGGATGATCATTGAAGGTCCTTTCCAACTGAAGTAGAAAATAAATAAAACAAAGCAACAGTTTAGAGCAGCTAATCATCTGAGTCTCCTCTGGTTCTCTGGGCTCTTGCACAATGGGCTGTGTAAAGGGGACCTGCTCTGGTCAGCTCCTCGTCCCCTTCCAGCTAGCTTCCCTGCCAACTGCACAGAATGCACAAGAAGGGTCTAGGTTTATAAATAGACACCACTTTCAGATCCAAAAAGATTAATTTCACATTGATGAAATACTGTTGAAAAATGAGCAGTTTTGTCTTTTAAAGGAAAGTAAGAAGTAACACTTATTTAAAAGCATATTAAAGCCAGCAAGAAGTGCATGTTTCAAGAGACTATAAGCACTGTCACTTGCAGCTGTCAGACACCTTAAATATGTGTGATTAGGCTTGAACTGGAAGAATGACAAGTGTGGCTTTTTAAATTAAAGAAGTCAGTGACTTTTCAGGACTGAAAAGATATGATCCAGTACTTTGGCATTGAACACGAGTTATTTTTCTGTGTGCCTGGTTGAAAGAAAGAGTGAATGAAGAGAGAATGACAAGCTGAAAACCCAGATCCTTCTCTTAGCTTACTGAGGTGGAAAAATGAAGAACAGTTATTATGAAGAAGAGATAAGTTACAAATATATCAGATTGCAAACAACACAAAAGATTATTTTCTAATGACAGATAGCGAAGTCAACTTACCAGTGTTTTCTGGAAACATTATGTTTTCATTTTATGAGGCAGATGCTTCCAGAGAATATCAAACCCCCTTTCGGCTACTTCTTCAGTGACTATATAAAGCCAACATCTAATCATAGACAGATTGGGCTAAACATGTTAAAAAAACTCAAGCCCAATTCCGTGAGCTGCATTTAGTTTCAGGTTGCACTATTTGCATAAGGCAAATGTGAAGACTTTTTAGTTAATTTAAAGTAATTCTAAATGTTGTAATTTTGTTAGTGCTTCTCTGCTTTACTTGAGCTAGGACATACTCTCTAAAGTAGTGTAGGCTTAGACTAGTCCCAAGTTCTGATCACAGCCCAGATATTGGGATAGGCTCTGGTTTGCTGCATAAGTAACAATTTATTCAGAGTCAGTAGGTGTGTACATCTTTCTTGTAGCCTGTCTATAACAGTCAAGTCAAATGCAAAGCAGCAACAACAGTCATAGTCATTTGTTATAATTGTAGTCTTGAGTAGGGAGATGGAGGTGGCAGAAGCTGAAAGACAAGGAAGTGGTCAGGAGACAGTGAGGCTGTGGTGACGTGGCCCCGCAAAACTCCCACTGATGCAAATGCACCACAGGACTCT